GGAATAACACCAGGACTATACTCCATCGTGAGGCTAAAATAACACATTAGGAAAAACAAAAACTCATACTGATTTCTCGTGTGGCACCACTTTTTTCTTGTTGCAGCTTTATTTATTTGTATACATTTCACCCATTTAAAATGTACAAGTCAGTGAGTTGTAGTGTATTCACAGTGTTATGCAAGCATCACTACAATCACCACATTTTCGTCATCGCCCCAGAGAAAACTCATACCCTTTAGCAGTCACTCTCAATCCCCTCAAATCTAGGCAATCACTAATTACCTTCTGTCTCAATAGATTGGTCTTGGTCCAATATCTGACACCTCCAAAAATACCTACCATTTTTATCTGATAGTTTTGTTTGTATTACTTCAATCTAATAATTTAATAATTAGACAGAATAGTATCATAATAACCACATTTATTAATTACTTGCTATGTTTTAGGCACTATGCTAAGTGTTTTATGTTATTATCTCATGGCAGCACCATTTCTCACAGTAGTTAAGAGAAATATTTAGCAGTAGAAGGCATATGGTAAACACAATTATCATTTTCTGGGCTGACTATTGTGCTCTGCATTCAGAAAATGCTTCCTCCGGACATCTAAGAGGAGACAGCTCAGCACAATGGTTAGGAGCATGGACATAAGAATTAGGCTGCCTGGGTTTGAATCCTTGCTTTACCAGTTGGAAGCTGTGTGAGCTTTGGCAAGTTGCTCAATATCTCTGTAATTCAATTTCTTCATACATAAAATAAGGAGATGAATACTTTCATGTAGAGTTGTGGGGATTAAATGATACAATAAAGGTAAAGTTACATATCGATGACTGTCCCATAGTATGTGTTCTATAAATAACAGTTGATATATCACTAGGATGCAGAATGTGAGTGCTTAATGATGGAATCAATCAGGAGCTGTGCAAGTGTGGAATTATCTACAGATATTGAAAGGATACGAGACTGTGCCATTAAACTGATTGTTGAAGAATGGGTAGAATTTCCAGCCCCCTCCCCCCTGCCCCCCAAAAAGGAAAAGGATATTGCAAACAGTAGGAAGAGCTAGTTGAACAAACCAATCTAGTGTGGCTAGATCCCAGTTTTGGAATGGTAGGAAGAGAGTGGTAGAAACATGTATTCTGTTTCCTTAAACATGATTGAAACTGCGATCTCTGCAATTAGAAACAAATTATGTTTTCAGAAAAGATCTCTTGGTTTAGACATTTGACTTCTCTTTTGAGACGTGGTGAATTGTTTACATGTTTGAGTCTTCTACCTGATCATAACACCTTAAGACCTGAGATCATGACTTGGTTATTTGTATCTCCACAACAGTGCCTGCCAAGTGTTGGGAATATAGTAATTGTTCAGCAAGTATTTGTTGACGTGAAGGGACCAATTAATCAATGAATATTCATTTTTTAAAGACTATAAATAACAATTTCTTGTGGTAGATGAGTTAGAAGACACATAGTTCTGATTTACCGTACATATCTTAGACATCACATTTCAGTACTGGTTAGAAAGAGAAATAGTGGATTAGAGATTCCACCATAATGATAGTTACTGTCCAGATGCCTCGGTGCTTTAAGAAGTACTAGGGTTGAAGTTCAGTCAAAAATGAAAATCTCTTAATTAGGAGGTGATCTTTGGAAGCACTGGTAGAGGAGTAGAAAAGTGAGGGGTAAAAATAGGAATCCCAAAAGGTAGTGCTAGTGAGCGTTACCACTGTGTGAAATTTGCCTCAATCTCATTGGGGACCTCTGAAAGAGAGTCTAGAGGAAACCTTGGATTTATCCTGCCTGAGGGGTAAAGAAGCTGGAGTATTTATATGCCAATTTATGTCAATCTTAAATGAGACTGCTCCTGGAGGTGTTAACTCTGTAGCACTTTGGCCTATCCAGCATGCAAGACAGATTTGCTCTATGCATCCAGAGAAAGCTTTAAGGCAGAGTTGCAGGGGATTGCAATAGAAGGCTGTATGCCAAGAATGTTCCTTTTGCTATTGTCTAGTTCATACCTTGGACTAGTTCATTCTGAGCTTTCACTGATTTTTTAAGGAAGTTTTGGTCATAATTCAGAGAGAGAAAAAGTTACGAGAGGAGGTTTGGTGAGAAATGCTACAAACCCACAGTCTCCATGGTTATACTTAATCTTGAGACCACAATTGATATTCATCATTTCCCTCCTTTCCCACTTCCATTCCCTTGACCAACCTGCTTGTAGTCTAGGTTCATTGCATGGTGTAATAATGCAGACTTTTTTCCCTGAGAATGAGTCTCAGATTACTTGTCCTTACAACCCAGTTACTAAACCTCATAGATATTGCTGCAATTGCCCTTTCAGTTCTCAGCCCACTTGGAAGCATCAAGAGGCACCCCACTGAGTCCCATACTCCTACCTGCTCCATTATTTTGCAACAACTCTATGTCCTCTTGATAACCAGGATGAATTACCCTTGCCTACAGCATAACTACCTTCTCCATCTCCTGGCCTGAGGGCATGAGGAGTCAAAATTAATCAAGCAGCAGCTGAAGCTGTAGATTTAGTGGAACCCTTACTGTGTCCTCTGGTAGAATTATCAAAACCTCTAACTCTGTAGACCCTGAAGTTTTAAAAAGAGGAAGCTCACTTTCTTAAGTGGGTTATTGAAAGTGATAGTGGAAGGCTTCAATCCTACTTCCACCTTTTGAAGCTACTTAATCATGTCACAATACTAAATATACTAACAGCATCAAATAGTAGCTATGGTTAAGGACAATTTAAACCTTAACCATGTATGGTATCATTCCCAGAGAAACACAGCAACATATTTACAATCTCAAACCTGGTCTACAGAGATCAGCCACCACCGAGCTTCTCATTAGTGCTGGTTTACCTCTTTTGGGAACACTCCTTATTGCATCAGAGAAGGGAGTGTCTTCTGGGCTCTGCTAGGGAACATAATTATCTGGTAGTTTCTCTGGCATCACAGAATAAATACATTATAACATGGCCATGTCTCTGAGACCTTGGAGCCCTTCTCCAATACTTTGCCAAGGTAGTTCTGGCATCTCTGCATCATTTATTTTAAGTCAACATTGTTTCCAAGCTATTCCAGTAGGATGTTGGGATCAGCTCCAGGTGTACTTGCCAGAATGTGAAAAATTAACTCATGAAAGAGCTTTCTCATAGAAATAGATTATCTATTATTTGGTCTTATATTCTGTCCTCCCTGATCTAGCATCTCAAGACCAAATCCCCAGAATATTCTCAGTCCGACTAGTATTTACTAGCCAGGTCCTGTAGTTCATTTGTTTAATAATCCATTTCATCCAGCAACATAGGTCATGCCTTTGTGCTCAGGTCATACTCGGACTTGACCCTAGTTCTTTATCCAGAAGCAACAAGGAGAGATGGAAGCAGAATTCATCAAACCTTATAAAACATCCTACTGAGGTGTGGCTTTTATGAGGCAATTGGCTGTTCTCCCACTGGAAAGGGTAAGGGCCAGAGTTTCAGAAGAATCTCTAGGTTCAAGACTCCGAAGAGCATCTCCCCAAATATCTCCTCCTGTATTTCAGAGTCTGATTCCTTCCCAGATCCTCACATTAGTGGAAGAGACTTGCTAGCTTTATGAATCTAGCCTCCTTTACAACTCTGCTTCTCCTAAAATCAAATCTTAGGCATGACTTTCATCATGGTCTATCCAGAACCAAAGGAAAGAAGGATCATTCTGATTGTTTCTTGTAGATCTTCAACCAAATCCTGTGTTGAATGTTGGCTGACTCAAGTCTGTAATTTTTTCTCTTACAGTATTTCTATGAAAGTTAACTAACTCTACAATTCCATATCTTTCAAACAAAAAAGCAACAGAATTTCCTTCTATCTATATTCTATCCCAATCCAACTGATAGGAGTCTTAGGAATATGGTGCTACATCTTGCTAGGGATTAGTCTCACCATACTATGCATCAGTGAGGGGGACCTTGCTATCACCTAGGTGGTTAATGATTCACTTCAAGAAGCTGGTATTGAGGAACTGCTTCCTAAGCCACCTCTGTCCCAACTAACTTAGGCTGGGCTTCGGTTCCCCCATAAGACCCTGAAACAAGGATTTTAGTGAAAGTAGTTTATTTGGGAAGTGAACCCAGGAAGAACCAGTAAAGGAGTGGGGAAGTGAGGAATAACAGAAAGGAAGTCAATAAAAGATGAATCTGATGGAAAGTTTCCCCTGTGGGAACCAGAAGTTTAATCCCTGGGAGGTTCTGAGAGCCTTAATAGTGCATCCTCAGCACTGTCATCCCTGAGAAACAGAGAACCTGGGGCATTTACCCTCCAATCCCTCCTGTCATTGGTGGAGGGCTGCTCCTGGGGACATTAACTCCCTGGCACTTCCGTCTGCTGGCCTCACAGTAGCCAAATGCTCCAATGACCAGAGAGTGCCCTTGGGGACAGTATTGAACACTTGCATAGAATAGGAAGTTGTGTGCTTGGTACGTATGGAAACAGTGAATTCCAAAATAAGATAGATAGGACACATGAAAACACGTTAGAAAAACATAAATATCCTGTGAGTATATCATGAATATTAATGGAAAATAATGCCATTAAAAACTATTATAAAAAAAAAATAGTAGCTACCTGCAGCATATCAACACCATAGCCATTGTGTAAGGCAAGATATCACCATGCATATTTCTAGGGTTTTTTGTTTGTTTGTTTGTTTGTTTTTAGTATGTTGATTGGTCTGGCACCTTTATTGATTAGAATATATGAGGATATATTTCTCTGCTCAACCAACTTTGTATACACTACTTTCTTGGCCTAAATGTCAATATGAACAATACATACAGATGGAATAGAGTCATCTTAGTTTTAATAGTGCCCAGCAGTTCCTTTAAATGCCCATTTTCCATCTCCTGTTTGAAATAAAGTTTTAGAAATGGGTCTTGAGAACCTTGGTTACAGAGTCAAAAAAAGTTCACAATACTAAGAAACTTAAAGCACTTACAGAAATAAGGAAGCAGCATCTGTTATTGTTTTATTTTTCACTTGTGAAAACATATATAACATATATTACATGTACAGAAGAGTCCCACAGCTTGAGTCAGAAAAAGCTAAGAAAGAGGCATATACAGGGGGCAGATCTTTTCATACAGCTTTCGGTTAAACCAACATTCAGGGCATGGCAAGTGACAATAAAAAACAACAAAAGCACAGGAACACTGTGCATATGCCTCTGAAGAGCTAAATCAGAGATAACTCTTATGTCTGTTGAGAATGGAGGTCATCTCTGGAGAAAATATTGTATCTGCTTAAGAGGCCTGTCAGAGCAGCAGAAAATGTATTGAAATCTGGACAAAGATACTAGGGGCAAAGAGAAATCCAGTGCTTAACGTGCCAGCCAGTCTGCTCTTCTCCCCTTTCTCTTTAAGACCTGAGGCCTTGCCTGATTCAAAGAAGCAAATAACAGGGCCCACTCTGGTCCTGCAGAATTATGGTCAGCTACAACACAGATTTTTTTGTAACAGACTAAATATTTTAAAAGCTCGTAAACACTGTGCTGATGCTGGGGGTTGGGGGCGGCGAACAACAAACATAAAAAGAACATTGCTATTTCTCTCTCTTATAGGAATGAAACAGGCATAGATCTTTGGCTTGCCACATGTATGTCCCCATCACGACATTTACTCAAAATGGTAAAAATTGAGACACAATTCATGAGATGATGGGATTATTTCCATCATATGCCAGCAAAGAAGCCTTCTAAGATTTGGCACAGCTGGAGCAGCTGACAACCTTGGGCAATGTGAGATGGGGCTTCACGACATCCGGTTCAATGGACTCCATTAGGTCACACTCGTTTGCAAGTATATGTTTCACCAGGCATCTGGAGGCTTCGTCGATGTTTATATTTTCCTAAGGGGGTAAAAAAGACAAAACAGCTTTTCTTATTCAATATTCTGAAATAATGCTGAAGCCGAGACCTATATGTGACAGAATGGCAGTATTTTTGGCAATTCATTTAAATATCTTTTCCTATACTCTATTCATGAGCCCTCTATTCCCCTCACTCTCATTTATTCCTTCAAAGAACTTTATTTTTTAGTCCTCCACAAAGGCAAAAATATTTATTTTGTTTTGTTGCATAGGAGGAATAGTGTTTTGTGGGCTCTCTTAGTATGCTGAATGTAAGTTAGAAGGCAATTTTCTTATTTTCACATACTCTTACACTATACCATAATACTGTAGAAGACACTCAAGTCTTCAATCTAACTTAGGCCACATACTACTCTTGTGACCTTGGTATGAAATAGAAATAATAAGATACTTCTTATAGAGGTCATTAGTAGTTTCCCAAGTATTTCTGGTTCTCTGCTTTCAGGTCAAAAGTTTAGGAGTGTACTATCTTGACCTCTTTGAAGTTAGGCGTGTTACTTTCATTGGACAATGAAATGTGAGGAGAAATGATATGTCTCACTTTCGTATAGGGGTAATAAGAGCCAGTGCTCAAATCACCACGTTCTTTTGATCCTGCTTGTGCAATCACAGAAGCACAGAGATGGAAATTCTCTTGGTCTAGGTCCATGAATGAGGATCAAGAAGAGCCAAGTGTCCCATGATGGCACATGTAGCATAAGTGAGAATTATGACCCTGTTGTTTTAAGTCACTGAGATTTTGGGGTGTTTATTACTATGACATTGCCTAGACAATCCAGATGGATATAGTCTTTAAAGAAAAAATATAAAATCAGAAATATGAGAATAGTTTCGAGGATGAGATAAACTTTAATTTAGGGAAAGTATGGAGCAAACATTTGAATCTACAATATGTTGTTCAGTTACTACAGGTTAAATTGACCTTAATCTGACAGTCAGAAAACTAAGAAATGTGAAATATTTGCTACCAGTGTACTAAGCACAAAAACTTGATCTCCAGTAAAGTCAAATTTGACTGTTTTAATCACTATTTGTAGAACTTCTCTGCTGTGTTCCCTCATATTTAATGTAAAGACATAAGGATTTGTCAAACCGTTTTACTACAAAACCTTTTTTCCAATCTGAAATGTAACTACTTATCCCTAATTTTTCTCTGTGTGCAAAACTGGTTGATATATTTTGAGATTATTGTGTGAAGTCATATTACATGGAAAATATAAGAGGTAGTGATAGTTTTCAAATGGTATCTATGGCTAATGCCTACTGATGTTAGATGTAAATATTCATTAGCATGTTCCCTATCCTTCAAGCCTAATACTGAGTTCACCTGCTATGAAAGCGTAAAGTAACTTTTCAAGTTCTAGACAACAGTCTGGTTATTTTCTCCTATTTACAGAACCTTAATAAAAATGCTTTTGGGAGTTATTAAATCTAAAACAAGGTGAAGTTCTGGTTGCTTTTGTGTTTGTTTGTGATGCTGTTGTTATTGATTTTTAAATCAGAATTCATGTCTCTGAGCCTCCCTTTCTTCATGTATACAATCATCTTGATGATAATATTTATCTAATAAAAAATTGCTTCTCTTTGCCAGGTATAATGATCATTGGCGCTTTCACAGTGTGAACGTGCTGGGCACTTTGTGTGCATAATCTTATTTAATCCCAGGATTTGTTTTTTGTTCTTATTGATTTTATTGTTATTGTTGGGGTGGGGTGGGAATGGTCTGTCTATCTTCAGCTCAAGTACCACCTCATGCCATGGAAGCCAATCCTCAGAGAATAGCTTACTTCTGACCTTTTTTCTGCTGTGCAGGTTACTATGCCTTCAATTCACTGCTCATGCTTGGCGTACCTTCTGCTACAATTCCTCTTCCTGATGTTGTGCCCAGAGGGAGGTCAACCATGAACTACCTGTGGCCCTCTGACCTTGGTGGAGACACACCCAGCCCAATGCTTTGCTCTTGAGTCCAGCAACTTGCTTATATGAACAAATGGAAGCCAGGTCCAGGTCCTCTGATGTCTCAGATTCAAGGAAAGTGAGGATGAGTAACCTCACTTAGCCTCACAGGCCTTGGCCTCCTGGGCCAGAACACCTCCCTAAATAAGCCCTACATTTGAGTGGTTATGGAGTACCTCCCCAGTCATTACGAAAACAGTACTTTGACTTCCATTTGGATATTCTTGTGTGTTGGGGAGGAGGCAACAAAATCCTACCCCAAATGCCAAACATGGAATATCATCATATTCGTTTGTAGAAAAGAAAACTGAAATTTGCTGAGATTAAGAGACTTCTCCAGGATCATGCAGCAGGTAGGGTAGAGGGCCAGAAGTCACACTCAGGCTTTTTGACATCAAGGCCTGGGTCTTACTAAGCTATATTCCTTTTCAAGATTGTTTTTGAAGATCAAGTGCAATAACAAAAGTTTTTGCCAAAGCATTAGGCCCAATGGATGCTAAATAAATCTTAGTTCCTCTCTCCTTTTTTACATTAGAAGAAAAACGTGTTGATATGACAGGAAAATCTACTTTTCAGCATTAAAAAGGGCCCTCCTTCACATACAATGTTAGATTTGGCAGCAGTACTTTTTAAACCTCTACTCATATATTAACTTACCAGTTAAATAGGGTTTTCTTTCATTAATATGCAAATTGGTGAAATCTACTAATGAGGTGGGTGAAATGCTAGTGTGGACAAATCAATGAAAATCCATCATCACTATGAGAAAAACAACTAAAACCTAAGCCCAATTAGTGGCAGCCTAGTCAAATCATTTTAGTAAAAGATAAGATGATGCTGGTGAAATTGTGAAGTTTAATACGCTGAGTAAAGGCTCACTGGTGTCAGGACTAGGACATGGAACCATGTTTAGTCCCATTAGAGCCGAGGAGTGACAGTTCCTGCTTCTAGATTGCACATAGGAACAAAATGAAAGTTCATGGTAATTGAGCCATATTCATTCATTCAATTAATATTATTTAGATTCCTACTATGTACTAGACACATAAAGATAAAGACAATAAAATAAGTCCTGATCTTAACTGAGCTTACACACTAGCAAGGTTTATGTAAACAGCAAGGGGATAATAACGTTGAAAAGGGCATCTTGAGCCAGGTCACTGTAGAGGAATGAATGCTAAATTGGCAGGTAGTCATTGAGTTTGTTTTGCAGGTGAAGTGTCAATAAACATAATACAAATCTAATAGTAGCAAAACTATACAGACCTTAGTACTATTTTATCAATTAATCTATCAGTAATTATTTTAAAATACCTATCATGTGTAGCATGGTGCTGATTGTGACAGCATGCCTATTTCAGATTAGAATTCCAAGAGGAAGCCAAGAAAAAGAGAAAACATTATTATTTACCACTATGGCTATCACATACAAAGTACAAAAGGGCATGGTATATAGTGTTTGGAGCACAGGCCTCAAGCCAGATTCTTATCTCCGCTCTCCCACTTTCTGGTTGTGTGACCTTGGAAAAATTACCTTAACCACTCCCTGTTTCAGTTTCCTCATTCGTAAAAAGGAAACTAAGAGATCTACTTTATAGGTGATTGTACGTTAATACATGTTAATATTTAGGACATGTGAAATATTGCACAAACACTTAGACAAGGGCATAGAGTATACAATCAATAAATGTTATCTATATATTCCTCTCATTCAATCATCAGAAGAACACAACAATGTGTGCATTCTATTCCTTAACTTTGCAGCTGAAGACACTGAGACTGAGAAGGGGTAAGTGGTTAGCCCCAATACACACAACACTAAGTGGTAGGGCCCAGTGTGAGCCCAGCAAGAAGAATAAACACTAACACTTACTACAAAAAGCAAGGTGTATACTGTTTAGAACACAGGCTTTGATCCAGACCATATCTCAGCTCCCCCAAGAAAATATTTCTCAAATAAGTAAAGGAACAGCATGCGCAGGGCACATATTTTCAGCATAAACAGCGTAGGAGAATGCAGACAGGGCCACAGGCAAAGCTGACTTGCATTGCTGGTCCTTCTCTACATCACTGAAGTCACAGCCAAGGCAGATTAAGAGAAAGAAGTACAAGCAACACAGAGCAAACTTCTTACTCCCTTTCAGTCCAAAGCCAGCACGGATCATCAAATCCTGCATGATAAAACTACACATTCAGACCTTTGGGATAATTATATTGCAATACAATTGATTGAGCTACTTGGCATCCAAGTAGACACAGCCGAGGCCACATTTTCTAGGTGATTGTGAAGAAACAGAGCTGCTGGCTTAAGTGCAAACTACTACCTGGGAATTTTTATTCACATTTATTCACATTTATTAATAGTAGCAAAACTATACAGACCTTAGTACTATTAAATAAAGGAAATTTATACATTCTATGACTTCTAAGATACATACGCTTAGACTGAATTTGACTGTGATTTATTTACATATTTGCAATATGACAAGATGGTCTATTGTGTTGACTGCCTTAGGCTGATGTGTGCTCATCTTTGTGCCTCCGCTCAGAATCTTTACATTTATATCAATAAGCATGTCTGACAAACAGTCTTGAAGCATTTTAGTAAAAACAAATGGTGGTAACTTCCAGAGTTATTACTGAGTGTCTATGCTGGGAATATAACAGGTGCTTTACTTATAAAATTATTTTTATATTTATTTATTTATTCATTCACTTATTATTTATTTATTTGTGAGGCAACCCTTGGTTGACCTCACAGATTGCAAGGAACTTGTCAGCTTACAATCCCTTATTTTTAATTTTTTTATGCCTACAGCACCTGGTCTTCCTAGAGGGTCTCCCATCCAAGTACTAACCAGGCCCAATCCTGCTTAGCTTCCGAGACCAGACGGGATTGGGCTTGTTCATTGTGGCATGACCGTAGTTACTTTAGTATGTAACTCTCACAAAAATCTGTTAAAGAGCTAATAGCCATATATTAAAAGTAAGGAAACTTTAACCTTTAACAAAGTTAGATAACT